GTTCAGAGCAGGGCAACAAAGCTGGTGAGGGGTCTGGAGAACAAGTCTTATGAGGAGCGGCTGAGGGAACTGGGGTTGTTTAGCCTGGAGAAAAGGAGGCTGAGGGGAGACATTATCGCTCTCTACAGCTACTTGAAGGGAGGTTGTAACGCGGTGGGGATCAGTCTTTTCTCCCAAGTAACAAGTGATAGGACAAGAGGAAATGGCCTTGAGTTACCCCAGGGGATGTTTAGGATGGATATTAGGAAAAATTTCTTCACTGAAAGGGTTGTCAAGCTTTGGAACAGGCTGCCCAGGGAAGTGGTTGAGTCACCATCCTTGGAAGTATTTAAAGGATGTGTAGATGCAGTACTGAGGGATATGACATGGTTTAGTGGTGGATTTAGCAGTTTTAGGTTGATGGTTGAACTTGATGATCTTAAAAGTCCCTTCCAACCTAGACAATTCTATGATTCTAAGTAAAATAAGGACATGTTAAACAGAATAAATATGAGATCTTTTTGGACAAAATAATTTTAATTTGTTCCGAAAAAATATGCAAAGCTCAGTTAGGCTTCTGTGCTGGATAGCTTTAAAATTCCAAATATCATCAATACATTATGCATTTTTACAAACAGGCTTTAGTAGTATGTGGTCATAGATGTTTTGATTTATCTTACAGTATGTCTGGCACACGCAAATAAATGATTTAGTGTTGCACAAGTCATAACTGACAGAGCATTGTGTTGTAGCCTTGTTAGCTGAATTTTCTCATTTCTGAACTGGGTTAGGGTAGTATTTTTGTTCTGTAACATGCTTGTCATAACTTTATGCATTTTGTACGTATCCGTAAATAAACAGAAATTACTCAGATTGTTTGCATGTAAAACATTACAGGAATATGACTACTCTGAAAACATGCTGGCATATTTGTCATACTGTGGGAGATCATCCTTAAAACAAGTATTAATCCTGATTAAGAGAGTAATTGTGTTAGAAGTCAGATTTTTCCAGTGTAAAGTTTATTGCTCCTAGTTTTCAGAGGTTAATAGCGTGCAGAGATCCGGAGCAGTAATGCCAAGCACTGCAATGAATAATAGAAGGATGATTCTGCTAAAATTTAATTTCATGTCCTGGTTTCATATCTGGTAGAAGAGAGATGGCTGCATTGTCTCTTCAAATACAGGAACTGAGGTGAGATCTTAAGGAATCTGCTCTCTTACCAGATGAGAAGAGGAGGTAAATGTCTCCTGAATGCTTTCTGAAGTAGTTGTCTAGGGAAAACATACAGCCATGCTGCAAATATAGATTTTTTTTTTTTAAACTATTTTTTTTTATAGTCAGTTTTGAAGAACCTTACTTTAGGTTCATGTGATTTCTGAGAAGTTAACATCAGTATTCCAACACAAAACTGATTGTGTGAATGCTTTTTTCATGTTCACTTTTTCCCTCTATTTAAGCTCCTAAAGAACTTCTGTTAATTTGGTCAGTAGTGTGAAACTGATTTAAACTATAAATACAGGAATTTGTCTAGTAAGAAACAGTTGATTATTCAGATAAAGAAAATCAGTCCTGCATTGTCTTTAAAACACCAACACTTTTTGCTCTCGATCTTGAGACAACTTATGGAAATGAATGAAAGGAGAAAGAGGAAATACACCGCCTTTCTTTGAGGATTGTGCATGGTTTTTAATAACATATCTTAAGGGAAGAAGGCTCAAGTTTTACTACATGAGTCAGTGAAGTGATTTCTTAATTTAAATACATATCTTGCTCTTCCTGGTCACTGCTTTCTGCATCAGTTTGTAGCATCACGTTTAATAATGCTCTTCTGGCCAGGCATCTTTGTCTTTCTGGGTACCCATATGGAAGAACTTACCGGAGAACCTGAAGTGCTGTAAAATTACATATGCTGATAATGATCTTTGGGTTACTTGAAAAAAATGATTGTATTCTCAAATCACTGAATGTCTTTCAGATATTTAGGGTCTCTGCCTAAATACAGTAACATGTCCTAGCTGTGGGCAAAGGATGTAGAATGTTTGCTCTCACTGGAGCCTGAGTTGATGCTTTTTTTTGTTGCTCCTGGCAGTTTTGCGCTCTGACTGGTTACGTTTTTGGCACAGGTATAACATAAAATATCATTAATTTGCCTACATGTGGGACTAGTCTCTTGTAAGTGAAGGTTTCAACATCTGCTGTGAAGGTGTTTGCATGTCTGATTATATCTCCTAATCTAATGGAGGCGTTTTGTTGATGTGTTGGTGCTACTCTAGTTTGCTACAGCGTAGGTCAGAAACAGCTTCAGTATGTCGTTTCCAAAGGTCTGGAGCTACTTTTCCTAAAGTGAAAACATAAAACAGTGTTCTCTGACAGTTTTTTTCCTAGCAAACCCACATGAAGCTTACTTGCTTTCCAGTTCTTCAGAAATTGTGGTACTCAGAAAGGGCCTTCGCCTGGCTATCTATCTGCAGAGATATATCTAATCTATTGGTTTACAGATGAGATTTTTGGTTTGCTTGCCATTTTTGGCCCAGACTGTTATAATATAGAGCTAGTGGGGAAGAAGGAGAGGGAGGAACACTTGCCTTGGGAATGTGGCATTCAGGTTTTGCTCTGGAATGAAGCTGCTGCTGTAGTGAATACAGCCTGCTGATGAGCTACGTGCTGAAGAAAACAGGCAACTAGCAAGCAGTTTAGTTAATCTTTTTTTAAAAAACGGAAATCTGTTAAAATCTGGAAAACTGTGTCTTGGACACCTGGTTTTTAATAAAAAAAAAGTTAAATAAGTTTTCACACACTAAATCTTAACTATTTGAGTGGTAGTGAATCCTGAACAGTGAGGAATACGTTGTTCTAGGTGAAGGGAAAAAGGTGGGAAGTAACCTCTCACCAGGAGGCTTTGTGTGGAAAGGGAGAGAATATCAGTTCTGTGGTGAGGAGGGGTGCAAAGGCTGTTATTCACAGGATTTTCTCAGGCATCACATTGTTTTTTGTCTGAGAAATATGGAGGGTTATGATTATATGAATATTTTGCTTGTTTAAGCAAGCATATGAGTAGACAAGCTTACTGTAGTTTATTGGCATATAATAGAGGGAAATGTCATTCACTTAAGAGGTTGCTTGATGTAGTAGGGGTAAAGGACATATGTTAGAGATCATATTTTCTTCGTGTTGCCTCTCACTTGATACCTGGTTGAACATTGGAGAAAGCTGAAATGAAGTTGTGGTTAAGTCAAGCATTCAGAATGGAAAGAGAGGATTTGGATGTCTGTGCAGTATTGCTTTAGTTTTTGTTCTTTGTATGTGCAGGTGGATGTCCAAAGCCAGTTTTCACCCCTTCTGATTATCTTCCCTATACATTGAATGGGGGAATTGGGGATCAGTGTTGTTAATAATTAAAAAAAAAAAAAGCGCTAATAAACATTGTCTGTTTTCTTGTGCCATGCAGAATCTTAGAGCTTTACTTACTGTTCGCTATTCACATTCTCTTTTGAATACAGCAACTCATTTCTGTATTAATTTTTCTTTAGGTCCCAGTGTATCTGTGAGATGAAAGAAAAGTCTTGACAATGTGGGTGCTAGAGAGAGAGCCGTTTCACTTCTAGCTTGTGCCTCAAGGTGAAATATGTTGAGCCAGAATGTTCCAGAAACTAAACCCAGCACAGTCTCACCACATGTGTGCCCATGCCACTTGCTTGCAGCTGTTCTCTCTCATGTTGGCAAGACATGGAAGTCATAGTTAGTGACCTCATGTTGTGGTTTTTCAGTGTAAATTGCCCAGAGGGCTTAACAAAATCTGTCCACCGAAAATGTTTAGTTGCTCAAACCAAGGGACCTTCTTTCTAGACTCTTTCAAAACCTTTGTTTTCAGCCAGTAAGTGTGGGCATCTTCCAGGCGACAGCCTTGGTTGTGTTGCAGGTCTCACCTGCTTGCAAAGCAGGCTATGTAGAGCATACTAATGATTTAGGAGATCTGAGGCATCAGCTGTATCCTTGTCTTGTTGGTGTTTAGCATCCTGTGTGATAAAGTTTATCAGGTGGATGAAGTCAGGCACCTGTAGAAGTTACCCTTCTCCCTAAAAAGATTATCAGTTGCTTGTTCTTTTCTGTGAACTTGCCAAAGTGTATCTTGTTTAGAGGGTATCTTCTGTAACTTCTTTTTTTCTGTTTTCCAAGTGAAGCTTGCTAGTCTTGAAGGGGAAAACAGATCTGATTAGTAGGTTTGTCTCAGCCAGACCTGAATGAAGCTCTGCAGTGTGTCCAGAGAGCGTTGCCCCATGGAAGTGGGGTCTGAGAACGCAAGGGGCATGTGCCTCTGTCACAATCTTGCACTAACTTTTAGATGTAGACATCTCTGTAAATACTAGCATGGCCTATGATTTCTCTTAGGTGTAAGTTTGATTAAAAACTTCCAGTATGGTACACTGGTTTAAATGCTCTTCAAAGTCAGCACAAAGCCCAATACACAGATGTGTTTTCTAACTACTTGGGCTGTGGCTTCCTTTTCGTTTTTGTGGGACTGCTCTTCGATAGCAGCTATGCCTACAGTGGGTTTCTTGGTTTATATTTCTTTTTGTGTCTTCTGTGGGTTTTTTTTGACTACAAACTTTTCTGTTCAAGTTCTTTCCTATGAACCTGAACAAAGAGAGGGTGAAGCTTCTTGTAGCGTTAGGACAGTATAGGATCTGGTGTCTCCTTTTCCTGCCTTTTCTGATCTGTACGCCGCCAAGTTAGATCATGTTTTTTTCTTGTTTGCTGTTATTTTTGAAATCTGTTTTGGGGTTCCTGGTTTTTCTTTTTTCCTCCACTGTAGCCCACACTGTTTATAACACCTAAAGCTTATGCTGTCGTAGGGGCTGGAGGGTGATGCAAGACTGCCTTCCATTTGCTCTCTGCCTAAGTTGCTGCTTTGTCTGAGCTGTTCTTGCACATCAGCTGTAGAGATAAAGCGGACATCCTTTGCAGCACTGTTATCCTTGTCTTAATTGAAGGTTGTTCTGGATTATAAAGAACAAATAATTGTTTTGCTCCCCCCCCCCCCCCCAACTGTCATTAGGTTAGTTTAAGGTGGCACCACTGTGCTCGTTTAAGTAATTTTTGATAAGGAGGATAGTTTCTCACCAATTACAGTTATGAAAATGGAGTAGAGAATGCGTATTAATGTGTGACTTGTTCATGCTGCCTCTGTCATTTGGCAAACTCAGATCAACAGAGTTCATTCTGTCTCCAGGGATCTCATGTTCTGAACGTTTTGGTTAGGGTCAAGATAAACATGTAAGAACAGAGTAGGCTTAGGTTTGTTTAAAGGACAAAATAAGTTCCCATCTCCTCCCCCAAAAACTGAGTAAGCATAATGTCCTCAGAGTTCTGTTCAACAGGGAGATCTGCATAAGCAGATGACAACTGAGCAAGGGAAAAAAAGACGACATTTATTTAAAACACAGAGAAGGCACGTTCTCCAAACCCTCCTGTCCCCTGGACTATGCAGAGCAGGGCAGGCAGCCAGGCTTGGATCTTGCTTGCTGCATCTGTCAGTCTGCTTTTGGTTGATGGTCAGGCCTGGGGATAAATTGGCAGGGCTTGTATTGGCTGGCAACACAAGGCTGCGACTTGAAAGGGATAGCTTGTTTGGTATTGTGGGAGTAATGCAGGCAGGCTTCATAACTCCCTTGCACCTCTTTTAAAGCAACAAATAAAGCAAATCTCCAAGTCTTTGGCATTGCAGCACCTCTGTTTTGGTGTTGGGCTGCATTCTACTACTTCTGCCTGGGTTTTTAAAAACCAGGGCAGCTAGCTAACCAGCTTAACAGAAAAATCATATGTGCTTTAAGATTGAGTACTTCTGTTTGATTGTCAGATATTCCCAATGCTGCAGATGTTTGGGCATGGGTGTTTTGAGTTGTAAACTTGTTGGTAAAGTAAGTGACTTCAAGTCATAGTTGACATGCCAAGATCTATCTGTTTGTAGCCATATCTCTCTCTCTCTCTCTCTCTCTCTCTCTCTCTCTCTCTATATATATATATACATATCTCATGTGTGCTTCAGTAGCGAGTCAGTGTGAATCGCATGGTGGACAGCCTACAGACATACCTTCCAGTATGAGAATTTAGTGATGGTTTTGTATTTTTCAGTAAAGAGGTGACAAGCTTGCTCTGAGCTTCAGGCTTCTTCGCTGAAGTCTATATATTGCCTGATGTCCCCACTTAGCATTAGTGGCGAAATGAATAAAGGAGTGCCACTAACATAAAGTCATTTTGGTTTATATGTTTTGTCATGTATATGCTCTCCTGTAGCCTTAACATTTTGGCAGATACTTTATCTGTTGGCATATTTCAGAGTGGTTTTATTGTGTGGGCATTCTCCTTGAGGGCAGAGAAGTTATTTCTGCATTAAGATTTTGCTTGAATATACTGGTTTTTTTTGTGGGGATTAATTGGAGTTTAACTTTCTCCTTTTTTTCCCAGGGGATTGTGGGTAACCTAGCAAGTGGCAAGTCTGCACTTGTACACCGGTATCTGACTGGCACATATGTCCAAGAGGAATCACCTGAAGGTATGTGAATATGCAAATTTCATTAATTTTGTTGTGAGGTTTTTTTCCCCACAAACTTCATCTTTATGCATTTATAACCAGGCGGAAATGATTCCGTAAAGAATCCAATTTACTATTTCAATGTTCATGGACATTTTTCCTTTAACATTCTGCAGACTGAGATAAGTATATGACGAGTATAATTGTACCTTTTTTCATAACTGCTTAGCATCCTTAAATGCTTCAGCATCCATTATGTGTCTATATGGGAAACTTGTGTTCCTGTATTGAGAAGAGTTGATTGCTCTCAGCAGTGCTGCTGCTTTCAGTTTTTCAATTTTTTTTTCCTTTTCAGTTTTTCAATTGCTTTATCTAGTACTGGATTTCTGCAGAATCAGGCCCTTTGGTTTGTGGTGTTAGGAGAATAAAAAATGTCGCAAGCCTAAACTAAAGATGTAACTTGTTCCGTGTTTAATATATTAAATCTTTGGTCTTAAAGTGGTTTTTTTTTTTTTTTTTTAAAAAAAAAACGTTCTTATTCCATATATAAATAATTTCTACCTGAAAACGTTGTAGTATTTAACATTAATCCAAGTTTATAGCTTGAAATCAAAAATATCATAGTACCTTGTAGAGGTGTATCTTACACTAAATACTTTCTTGATTTTTTTTTTTTTTTTTTATCTGTTCTCCTTATGAACTTTTAAATCCAACTCTGAGACACTGAATTTCTGGTTCCTTCTTTTCCTTACTGGCTGTTCCATTCTTTGCAGATATGGATGCAGGTAACTATACATTGTCTTCATGGCAGCTCTTGTTTTGAAGAGACAGACAGCAGTTTCTGTACTATAGCGTTTCCCCCTTGTTTTGTGTATCATTTTGATTTGTTTCCTTTTGATTTCAAGTCTTTAGTACATCTCACTGTTTTTGTCTCTTACTGTAGTTGTCTTTTCAGCAATAGTTTGTAGCTTCATGCATCTACAATAACATTTGTTTCAAATTAACTCTTACCAAAGGAAGCAATTAAGCATAGTACTTGACATTTTAACAGTCTTGAATTGTAGTTAAAATGGGAGAGGGAAAGGGAGGGATAGACAAGGCTTTTTCTTGTGAAATTCCAGTAATAGTGAAGTGTTTCAGGTTATAAGCTCGCCTTAAATGTTTTTGCTGCTTTGTAGCTAGGACTGGTGGGGTGATAATTGAGCCTTGCAACAAAACTGGGTGTAGGTCACGTGCCTGCTGCTTCTGGATGCTGGTAGTGAGAAATGTAGTATGTAGATCCACTGAATACGAGAATTCTTCAGCAAAAATCTCTGCAGATCTCTTTCCTCGTTTCATGAACAGAAAATCCTTTGTGGTTGTTTTTTTCTTGTAAGATTCAAATGCATTGATTGTCCATGGGTTTAACAGTCCTCTCCTCCTGAACTATGAATATTTTAGATGGTGTTCCTTGAGAGTGTTGCCATCTGTCCTCTTTGTCTTCAAGGATTTTTATTTATAGTGCTTGAGTGATGTTCAGACTGCTTTTTTTCCTGAAAGGAATAGATGACAAAAGCAGTGTCAAATCATTTCTTTGCACATAAGTGTAGCTGACAAGCCTCACTAATGACACCATTCCGTTTCATTAACAGTAGAAAAACTGGAGTAATTAAGAGCTCTAATTCACCTTGTAAGAGATAGGGTCAAGATTTCTAATCAAGTTAGTATTAAAGGAAATTCAACCCATATGAATTATGCTTAGTAAACATTGTAGTAGTGATTTGTTAGTGTTTTAGTTCTTTGTCATCCAAGCATAAGTCCATTCTAGAGAAAATACAGCAGCAGTGCAGATGGTTCAGTTGCAGTGAGGTGCGGGACTTTTGATTTTTGCATTCTGCATGGGAACATAGCTTTTGATAAATTGAGGCTAGGTGTAAGCCTTTACGTTTGAGACACATGTGGATCTTCTTTTCTTTTCCTGAGGTCTTTTAAACATGCCAGAGCGTTAAATTGGTTAAAGAGTAGTATGTATATTAGGTGTTAAGGTCTCAGCTGCTTGACTGTTTAAGAAAAACCAAAGTTTATTGAATTCGAATGGCTTACTAACAGCAAAATTTATGCGGCATCATATAATTAGTATCTAATTGGTAAAAGGATGGATGCATACTTCATGTGAAAATGGTGATTATGACCAAGGATCGCTATTTCTGCCATCCCTTTCCTTCTAAATTACTACAGTTACCACGAAACCTGCCCTGAATTAGACAAGTGCCAGAGCTCCTGTAGACCTATAAGGTAGCTTCAGCATTCCAGTAAATGAATCTTAAGTATATAAAGATGGTTTTATGTTTCCTTCTGCTCTTTTCTTTAAGGCAAGATATTTCTCTTGCTGCCTGATCCACCTCCCCACCAGAATGAGGAATCATATAACGTTAAACTGTAAAGCAGCTTTCTGTCATTGGCCCAACTTTTGTTTCTCTTCAGATTTATTTTAGTCTCTAGTGTGATCGTAACATTAACATGCAAAGCTTTTTTTCTCATAGAGTAAGTTTGTCTTGGGGAGAAATTTGACTTCTAGGCTCTTCCTTTGCATATTTTACATGCACATAGCTGTACTCCTGTGACACACTTTAAAATCAGTTGTATTTTGATGCAAGAAAAAAGTGATGTATTCCCTGTACCAAGTGGAAATTTCAGTAGTCTGGGACTTGCAATTTTTTTCTGTAATGATACAACAAGAAAGTGATAGGAAATAGGGTATTTTAGTGATTTGTGATCTTCTAAGAACCTTTAAAGTTACTAGGAGAAAAACTGCTACTAAACAGTGTACTGGGTTTTTTACAAAGCTGAAAGAACAAGTAAGATGTGTGCAACCTGGTATCTTTTCTCACCTGTCTAAAATTTAATTCTACCTGTAGGAACAAAATGAACCGTGGTGTGCATGGAATTTGAGACCAAGTACTTTGCAGACCAAGGTGAATTGAAGTTTACAGGAATAGTGAGTGTCAGGAGTATTCTGTTACTCTTTGGGATTTTGTTTCCAAAAAGCTACAGAGGCATGAAACATGATTTAAAGGTTTTTGCATATCTCTGGTATGGTTGCGAATACCCTAATTCTTGTCATGATTATTTCAGTACTTTTTTTTTCCATTAAGCCTTATAAAAAAAGAAGGTAAGTTGTGGTCCAAGGTGTCTCAGCTGGGATGAGGAAAAAGGAGTGTTTTTTTTCTCTTCCACCCCACTGCCACAGCGAAGTGAGATGCTAGAACAGACAACTGATGTGAACATGAACTGCTAAATCTGTCCAGTATATCTTCTGTTTATGAAAACCAGGAAGGGGAGCTGAGGTCATGTTAACAAAGTCCCCTTAAATTTGAAGGTGCAGAATAGTTGAAATGAGAGTTAGGAAGAGAGCAGTACAACTGAAGGGAGAAAGCCAGTGCAGGAGGCATAGCAACTGTTTTGATTGTATCTTATTTTTGAAAAAGTTTTAAGGGTGCAGGTTTCTAGTGTAATGTATGCTTATGAGTCTGGCTTTAAAGTAACTAAAAGCATAACTTCTGTCCGGAAACAGGAAATTTCCTTTTTTGCTGCTAGTTTTCTGAGAATTGATGATTATCTAGTGGCAGTCTGCTCTACTTTGGCATTAAAATGGGACATGAATGTTTTAAGTATGTTAATAACTAAACATTGGGGTATATTTAAGATCTGGAAAAGTAAAATGTTTTTGTGCTCTCAAAAGCATAAAGGCAGTCTAGCACCCTGACTTGAGTGAGCAAGTAACTATTGCAGTTGGTGGGGAGTTAATGTATCCGGTGGATGAACTTATGAATATAATATAAATGAAAATGTAGGATGTGAATCTTTGCAATACTGTCTATTCCTTGCTTTGTATGTTGATAATGCTTACACTTCCCTTGTAGTACACAGTATAAAAGACAGGCATTGGAAGCTCTTACAGAGAGTTATTTTAGCCACTAATAGGTATCTTGTTTTAGCATTCTGTAATTTTTTTATCTGTGGATTTTTTTATTATTTATATGATATAAGGTTATCCAATTGCCTTCGGTTTCTTCTTTCGTATTTCCTTTTTGTAATTATAGCCCATTTTAATTCTTCTTATTGGTAGAAAGGGTTGAAAGCCATTTCATTGGGTGTTTTATTCCATTGGTGTATTTTGACTGTGACCACACTGTGAGTGGGGTGCAGTGGTTTGTGTAGCACTTAGGTTTTGTGGTGCTGCCTCTGCTGCATCCCAGATGAACTACAAAGCTCAGCGGAGTACCAGCAGACTGGAACCCTTAGTCTGTCCCTGAAGGGTAAGATGCATCAAATTTTAAGTACCACTTAATTTCAGTTTGAGGTCTCTTATGTGTTAAGGGCTACAATAAATATGTTCCCCCAGTAAGAGGTATAGAATAAAGTCTTAATGTGTTTTCTAGAAAGCTGTGATCATTTACTTTCTTTCCAAACTTGGCCTAAAAATAATTTTATACTAGAGCAGCCTTCAGTGAGTAACTTTTTTCAGTACCTAGAATGAACAGTGTCTCACTTGAATAACAGGAATGGTCATAAAACTTAACATCTATTATTAAAATACTAAACCGAGTGTCACCTTCAGCCTACCCTTTTAAAGAAGGAGGAATGTAATGAAAGTACCATGAAAGTAAGTTGCTAGCCTGTTACCAAAACATGTAGAAATTTCATACTGGGGGATGGATGTCCATATTTTTCAATTCTATCTGATAACTATTTCCATGTCATGTTACTTCAGCAGAATGTAATTATGCGAGGAACATTGAGAAAGACTACTTTAAAATTTCAGCTGCTTTTGTTCAGCATCCCCTCACGAGATTCTTGTCTGGCCATAGACTCTTGCAAAATATGTATACAAAAAGTTTAGGCATAATCTATTAACCTAGAGAACTTTCCAGTTGGCGTCATTCATGGAAAAGGTCTAGGGTGTCAGTTGCTGGACTCTGAGATGAAACCAAGAATGGAGCTTGTTCTCCTGGAGAGAGAAAAGAGGGAAAAAAAAAATA